AAGTTAGCTCGCTAGTTTCCACCTAAACATGATATGCCATGTTCTGACTGAGAGATTTCTGAACAAATTAAAACGTACAGCTCTGCTATCACTTCTAACATAAATGAAGACGGAAAACTAAACAGCAGTGACGTTTGTAAGGTTACTAAAGTTGGGCTAGCTGGTATATAATGATGTGCTACCTGATCGCTAGCGACACAGGTATGTTAGCATAACATAAACACAATGAAGCTGGAGGATGAACGCTAACCTTTTTCCACTCAATAAAAGTTCCCGATGGTTAGGGACAAATGTAATCGCATGGCAGGATGCTGTAAACGGACCAAACTTCAGTCAGGAGAACAACTGAGATAATCCATCCACAATACGAGGTTAGTTGTTAATGTACTGCAACAACACGGGATTAGAATAACTGTGAGAGAATTCAACATGGTATCAATGGTATGGAAATGGAGGAAGCAAGAAGGATGAGTTGAGTAGTAGTAGATAAGTTTGACTTATCTGACTGTTTTGTTTCACTTAATGCACCTTAAAATCGGGTGCGCCCTATGGTCAGAAAATACGGTAGTAAAAATGTAGGTTTTACACAAGTGTTTCTCTCCAGAAACAGCATGGCAGTTCACATCGATGAGAGGAGAACTGGTATGCTTGCAGCTGAGCTCCATTATTGCAAAGTGTGCTACCTGTTGTAAACCAGGTGTTTGATTATTGTTTGTTTGCTTTCCAATATGGTATGTAAAAGAGAGAGAAGCAACGGATGGAAGTCAGTTTGTGATGATCCAGAGTGTGCACACTGTTGAGAAAAGACAGATGCTTTTATCTGCTGTGCAGGTTTTATTTTGGACCACTGTGTAGAGCTGTGACGACACATTCACACTGTACATAAGCTATAGCATAATTAGCAGTAAACTGCCTATTTTAAACCTTTGTAAATCATATTTGTATGAATCATTTAAATACTCTTCTACCCAAAATTTTAAGACACATACATAGGGCCCCATTTTCAGACTCTCAAAAGCGAGTAGTTGAGAGTGCATCGTAAATGGACAAAATGAACCAAAGCATATGGCAAAAGAAACAAAAGAGTAGACTTGTACTCAAGACCACCTAAACCAAGACCAAGACCAGAGGGTATGGAGACCAAGACCGAGTCAAGACCAAGACAAAGTCGAGACAAAAAAGTCTTCAAAATGCATGTTTTTGCGATGCACTTGCACAGCCTTCCTCACCGCTGTCTACTGTCTCACTCACTTACTGAGAGGACAGACGCACACTCCACTTGACTG